TTTTCAGTGCGGTGGCTTCTCCGGCTCACCTCTGCGGCTGAGTATTTTTCTTCTGTCAACCTGTAAAAACCAGAACGGTGAACACAATAGTAAAAAAATTGCACGAAACGGGAAATGGAAAGGGGCTCATCGGAGGTGATTTCGGGTTTTGCCTGCAGTTTTCAACTCATCCACTGTTCCTTTTACTTCGATTTGGCCATAGGAGTGCTTAGAATCAAATTCCAAGCAGATAAGATAATTTTTACCTTTTTTGGCGGTCAGAGGTGGCTCCGGCGCGACGGTGAATGGCAGGCGGCAGTCAGCTCCCTTCTCCGGCAGCTGGTTCTTCTTCTCCAGCGGGAGGCTGGCGGCTAGGGTTTGGGTTCGGTGTGATACGAGATATTTATACCCGTCTAATTTAGATCTTGGTCGTTTATCGCATTTGATCTTGACCGTCCGATCACGTTTAAAGAGGTAATTAATCTGCACTATTCATCGTGATTTGTTCTCGACCGTCCGATTGCACTTAAAGAGGGAACAAATCTGGGTTATTCATTGTGTTTAATTACGATTGTCCGATCGTGCTTGAGGAGGGAACATATCTAAACTGTCTACACGGGCAAGAACGCATCCGGGCTGTCAGATTGTGGGCACACAGATTGTAACGACCCCAGAAATTTAAATAAAGAAGTATGTATTAAAAATTTTAAATGCGGAAGCGAAATAAAAATTATGATTAACATCCCTTACACAATAACCATAAACGTATTCAACGTATGAAAGAATAAGCTAATTAAAAGAAATACTCGAAATAAAAACTATAAATAAAACTATAAAATCTTTAAGCGTCTAACTCGCCGTATTCCTGAGGAACGGGCTCGGGAACCACGTCTTCCTGATTTGAAATGGTTAAGTAAGGAATGAGTTACACTAGCCAAGTAAAGATATCACACTATCTCCAGCGACTGGTTTTTCTTCTCCGGCGAGAGGCTGGCGACTAGAGTTTAGGTTCGGTATGATGTGAAATATTTATACTCAGCTTGCGTTAATCTAGGCCGTTCATTGCATTTGATCTCGACAGTTCGATCGCGTTTAAAGAGAAAATGAATATGGACCGTTTATCGCGATTTGATCTCAATAATCTGATCACGTTTAAAGAGGAAAGAAATATAGACAATTTATCGCGTTTAATTATGACCGTCCGATCGCGCCTGAGGAGGGAATGAATTTGAATCGTCCACGCGTGCGGGAATGTTTCTGGACCGTCTGATCGCCAGTGTGGCCTCCTGTGTGGCATCGAATCAGCGTGCCTTGGCACGCATTGCGCTTCGGTTCGTCGAGACTGCTGACTGGACAATCTTATGTGGTATAATTTTCTTTAATTGCGTTCTGACCCCCCAGTTTTTCATTTTTCTTTCAAAAATACTATTCGAACCCAAATTTTCACCTATCTTTTTTAAATTTATTTTTAATTTCGTCTTCAACCTATTTTTTTTCATAATTTTCATTAAATTAAATTTTATTAATTTTAAAATTAGATTTTTATATATTTTTTAAATTTTAAAATTAATTCCGAACTAAATTTCGAGATTAGATATTACATTAAGACCTAAGGCTAATAGATTTTTAAATTGGAAAGATACTTGTTCGACATAAACCAAGCCAATATGATTGTTAAGAATCCAATAGCGTAAGTATTAAATAGAGTATTTCTTACCATATAAGTATTTTAATATTTCTTAAAAAAGTATTATATATTTAGTCT